TATTTCAATGTATATTACATTTATTTTGCCAGAGCAAAGCCTCAGAGGCGCGGCACCCCGCCGCTGCGGCTTTGCTCCAGGTGTCCCTGGTCTGCTGGAGACGGTCCCCAGCAGACCAGGGGCACCCGGAGCAGCTTTTCTCGCCCTGGAGGTCAAGGTGGCGGGACCGCTGCGCTCTGGGCGGTCCCACTGCCTGCGAGCTCCGGGGCGAGAAAGCCCCGTTCATAAGTGCGGATCCGACATAAGTCGGATCCGCGTAACTCGGGGACTGCCTGTAACAACAAGCAAAACTTTTGCCATACAAGTGCTTCTCTTTTCAGTGAGCTGCATTTTAACCTTGCAAACTGGACATGGTATCACTGAAGTGATAGAAAGCTACCTAAAATATTACGTTTCCTAGTTGCCAGCAGTAAAAAGTAGTCCTACAGAAAAACTATGGATTTTTCCTGACAGACTAGTCTTGGTGACATGCTAGAGGCAAGAAAAAGGGCATGTTTAAGAGGTAAACATTAACGTTAAAAAAAGAATAAAAAGGATAAACTATGAAGAATATTTTCAAAGGCACAAATGGAGTTTAATGTCCAGCTTCTATTGACCTTTGGTGGGACTAGAGTGCCTACATGTTCTTTGCAACTTATTAAAATTTATTTAACAGCTTTTTTTAAAGCAAAGGTCTTTCTAGAAATTACGAGAAGAGAATTTGGATTCAAAAAATCCCTTGGATTCTACTCTACCAGGGGAAAGGAGAATGTCTACTTAGAACAAGAGATTCTGAATTTATGAATAGGGAATGTAATTAAAGACTATCGTAATGCATATACAAAGGGGACTCAATGTTGCTTAGACCACTTTAGTTGTGGCATTTTCTAACTTTGGACCGCTTTTGCCACTGCAAAGGTTGAATGAGCATTTGTTCATTTTGTTCCTTACAGCAATTTGCTCATAGACCAAGAAGTGACTGCTTTTTAGAAGATTACAACTAAATGTATTCCAAAAGGAAGCAAACTGTATCATTATCTGACTAGACATTGGTTCAACTCTAAGAGTGGCCAGGCCAGTCAGTGCAATATATTTCTTTATGTTCCAAAGTCCTCAGAAATGGCTAAAACCAGCACCTCAGATTATCTGTGAGGTACCCAACTGAATTTCAGTGGCCACATATCCTTAGCATGCTACTCTGTCCAGAGGCTAAAGACTAATAGGAGGTCCACTGACAGTAAAATTCCACACAGCATATAGTTAGATGTAGGCTTTTATACTTCTGGCAGGTTACCAATACAGCCATTGGCTGGAAAAACTTTCAGTTTGTCTGCTTTACTATGAACATAAGAGAAAGAATCCCCCACTCTCTGTTCCCACAGCCAAGTCCAAGGAGATTAAGGAGCAATACGATGCCATAGTGCAATACTAAGGAACATCCTACCTCCATACATAACTGTGCCAGTGTAGTTGAAGACTACCCGGCATTGATCCAATGCTGGTACCGTGTGCAGCAAATGGAAAGTTCGAAGGTCCCACTGAAGAAAGACGTTAAGGAATGACACACAACAAACCTTCCATTTTTATTTTAACTCATTGGTGAGCAGCAGATTAATAGCACCCACATAATTAATCTCACTTGCTTTTTTCTATGTCATCAGATGCTCAGTTCTCTACCACCATCACAAGCCCACTAGCGTGAACAAAAATATAATTAAACATGTTGTGCCAGTCCTCAGCTGCGAGCATGGTGATGCAGTTTTTGATGAGGAGAGAAACGATCCCTGAATGAGATGAAAGGGGTAAAACTGCAAATACCCATGAGTCACACCTGAAAAAGCAGGAAAGAACATGTACCAACAGAAAACCAACTCCCTCTCTTACCAGGGAGCTCTTGTACATTTCAAAGGCAGAACGCAGAAGTTCGTATCCACTGGAAAAGTAGTCAGTGGAAATTCCTTTGACTACTCGACTAGTAAGTTAGTTGCTACTTAAGATCCCTAGTGTATAAATGAGTATGGAGAAGAGTGGAGTAGTTTACATTTACTAGACACCGGGGAACGTGGAGGGAAGGGACAGCCTATGCAAAACAATAGGCCCCACTAAGAAAAATGGAATCAGGCTGATGAAAAAAAGAAAATTAACAAGGCTTTAGGGTCTTAGTTGAAGCTAGTGGAACACAGTACTGATGAACATTCAGGCTGGGCAAATGCAAGGAAATTCTATAACCCATAAAGAATAGAAATACAGCTGTGCTATCGGAGTGACAGGTTGAGAGCATCAAAACTCTGGGAGAGTGACAAGGAAACCAGACTAAGGCGTTAAAGAGGTACGAGGCCAAAAATAAACTGTAAAATGGCGTAACATACCAGTACATATGCATAAACACAAAACACAAATGGCTAAGGCGTTAAAGAAGTACCAGGCCAAAAATAAACTGTAAAATGGCATAACATACCAGCACATATGCATAAACACAAAACACAAATGAACTAAAGTGCCTGACTACAGAGAGCAGCCTTGATGTAAAAGACATTACAGAAACATGAGAGAATGATAATTAACAACATATTGTAACACCTCGTCTCTGAGAAAGGAAGATTACATGATAGCACTATCTAAAAAGGACCACAGTGATCTTTTTTTAATGTGAGGTCTGGTAGTAAATACCTAATGTGAAGGACAACAAAGCAACTGAGGAAAAAAAAAGAAAAAAAAAAAGGAGAAATGGTAATTGGTGACCTCAACTACACATACATAAACTGGTCAAATGACACAAGATGACAAAAGCAATGAGGTATCCTGTGGCACCCTAGAGACTAATAGATTTATAAGAGCCGACGTTTTGTGGGTAAAACCCACTTCATCAGATGAATTGAAGTGGAAATTACAGAGGCAGGGGTATGTATGCACTAGTATAACAAAAGAAGGAAATTACTTATCAAGTGTAAGACCATTGTTTGAGCTAGCAGGTGCCATGTACGTGGATGGGTGGAATATGGGGAGAGGTTGGTCACACAAGGACAGTGCTACTGGGCATCTGGGGTGGAGATGGAGCCAGAGGCTCTGTCCTTACAGAGAAGCCCCAGCTGGGAGCAGAGGCAGGGATGGAGCAGGTTTGGAGGGGGTCATCTCCTCATCCACTCCCCCCATCTTCCTCCCACTGAATCAGTACTAAGTAGGCACTTGGCTCCTGAAGCTACTCTCCCTCAAGCTACCTTCAGGGACTGAAAATCCTGGTTACTTCAAAAGGACCATGGGATTCATACTGCTCACTCAGATGATCAGGATTTCCAGTTCGTTTGTCCAGATTTCAACTGACTTCATCTGTCTCTGGCAAAACTGTGAGCGAAAAGGGAAAATAAACTGAAGTGCATCTCAAAAGATGCCTCTTGATTGGACTAGAATTCTGCGCACCAGTCAAAAATCAGCCAACCTGCCAGTGCTGGCCAAAGTACTTAAATCTCAGCTTCATTGACCTTGTTGGGTAAATTACTTTACATGGCTCTGTCGATGGAGCCACATAGTCTAGACATACCCTAAGTTGCTACAGGACCACTCATTGTTTTTTAAATTTAAGTTACAGATTAACAAAAAAAAATATAGAAAGTATCATGAGCTTTTGTGGGCACAATCCACTTCTTCAGATGAATGGAGTAAGAGGTCCGGGGGGGAGGGAGGGGCGGACGATGACAAATATTTGTGGGTCATGCCCATGGAAGCTCATGATACTCACTAGATTTTTTTTGTGAGTCTAAGGTGCTACAGGACCACTCGTTTCTTTTAAGTTTCACTAATCAACATTCGCTTTCTGGTAACAGATGGCAACCTTCAATGCTGGCAAGTAGAAGGACCTTGCAGCACAACCAGCGGAAGCAGTATCACAAATAAAAGCCCTCCACAAAGTGGGCTGTGCGCCAAATTGAGTGGAGAACTGAAACAGGATATAGAGACTGAGGAAAATAAACAATTTCATCAGAGCTTTCTCAAGTCCACAGCACAGACTATTGTATGAACCAGTTGCTGAGTCTTCTGCAAAGCACGAAGATCATCTCCAGAATGACATACTGGCTTGGTTAGGGTACGTGACTGAACTCTAGGCTCAAGTTGATGAGTTCCCTTGGCACAGCAGCCACAAGGAGTCATCTGAATCTGTCCTTTGCAGAAGATATTGAATTCATGGTCAAAACAGCATTTCTGTGCAACACACTTGGCTACCTGAATACCCTGAACATACAGCTGCAAAGCCAAAAGATCATCTGCAACCTTGTCAATAAGCTAGAGGCTTTTCAGAAGAAGCTGGACATACTTCTGATAGATCTGAGTTCTAAGAAGCTTTTGCACTTTATTCAGTTCTACAACCATTGATCAGCACAGGAGGCAGATGATGCAATCAGTCCCTCATGACAAGCTGCCTTGAAGCAGTGACAGGACAACTTCAGCACCCAATTTGGAGACTGTTTTTCCATGCCCAAGGAGGTAATTGATTTCATACATGATCTTTTCTCCATAACTGCTGAGGATGACTTCCTATTTCACATCCACGAAATCCTCCTTGAACAGCTAAAACTAGTCAACCTGCAGACCTCCAAAATGCTGAAGAATGAATTCATGAACAATGAAATCAAGACATCCTGGACATAATAGGCGGACACAGAAAAATATCCAAACCTTAAGAATCTCTCCCTTCAGGTCACCACAAATGAGCAAAACCAGATCTGTAGCCACAAGCATCTTCAAGAATGATGCTTAAAACAAGCTCATAAATGAGTCTCCGGAGAGTTACTTTGCAGAGCAGACACTTCACTGAAGACAAAGTTAAACAAGCTAGCACAGAGGAATAAGTGCCACTTTGTATGCTAGTAATAAAACCTAAATATTACAGACAAAAACTCTATTAGTCTCCACTACGCCAATCAATTATGTGAAGAGGAGTGAAGCTTGTGTTTCACGTGTTAAATGACAAAACTTTTTAGTCGGACAAAAAATTCAGAGCAAAACAAAACACCCACAAAAAAGTAAAAAAATTGTGTGGCAATGAGGTTATAAGTGTGGGAAAGATCAAAAACAAGGATCCAGGACCGAGGAAGAGCACTGAGTGGAAGTATCAAACATTACCACTGTAGCTGGGTAGTGAAAGAAATTTCTCTGTGAACCCGCAGCTAAAAAAATAATTTACCTTTATCCAGCCACTTATCCAGAGGTAACAGATGTCCCCCAAAGTTTCACTTATGGACAGGCTGTCCCATAACTGGAGGGATTTTTACATCTTCTTCCGAAGCGTCTGATTCTAGCCACTGTCAAACACAAGGCACCGATCAAGTTCAGGGTTTTTCAATCAAAGCTAGGTTGCCGGAATGCTTCCAAGGGTGGTCTGGCAGCTTCTGCCCCACAGAGCTGACAGGGCTCACTTCCTAGCTTCAGGGACTACAGCCTCTGGGGTCCCAGCACCACTCAGGTCAGGCCTAGCCATCATGACGACGGGACCGTGGCAAGCCAAATATGAATAAGCGACACTGACACCCCACGCGCCGGGTCTCAACTCCACTCACACACATTTGATTCAGTCAGGGGAGTGTTACTGGAACGCTGAGAGCGGAGAGCCACGGCCAGCCAGCCCCAAAGCACAGGAGCAGAGTTGCTGGGGGTTAAGTGCCAAGCAAGACCCAAGCTCCCAAAGGAGCAGGCGCTAATCAAAACCATCCAAAGCCTCTAACCCCAGACTATTTACTGGGTTACAACAGGCCATAAACATTTACAAAGAGATCCCACGCCCAGAAAATTTGAGCACACCTGGTTTAGATGGACTGTCCATCCTAACTTTGTAATTCTTAGGTTCACTCTAGTTAACGTACATATTAAAGCTTCTGTTACTACCACAGCCTGTGAAATTCTATTTCTGCTTATCATATGACACAGCTGAACATTTATACAGGTTGCTTCAATCAGATCACCTGTTTGTTAGCCCAAGGTTTTATGTTTCCACTGCATTGGCATAACAACTGAGACAAAAGGATACAATCTCTGTGTTGACTATGACCTCTAGCCCATTAGGATGAAAAACACCACTGATGGTCATGTTGAATTTGTCAAACTTGTGGATGGCCTGTGCAGAGCGAACATCCCAGAGCACCCCATCGTTTAGGACAAGGTCATCTGTGGGGTTAAAGGTGGCACAGTTCTTCTTATAGTTGTTGGCAAGATCTGGGTTAAACAGAGTCAATAGCTTGTTGCCAGTCTGAATATCATAGATCTTTTAGATTAAAAAGAAAGAGAAAGATTAGTCAAGATTAGTTCAAACAGCGCTAAAGAACACCACGTACCATCCCTTTCAGAAAATTTTTGGTGACCCCTCTCACTCCAGCTTTCCTTATGCATCCCAAATGAGAGCTTGCCCATGTCAAACTCTCCTCCCAAGGCACCAAACATTCAGACAGAGTTCTTTAGGCCGTGGTCCGCATTTCCCCATACATGTGTACAATGCTTAGCTCGCCTGGGGTTTTCCAATATGTTTAATAAGCTTGAGGTGGGTAGGAGAAAATTTTGAAAAATAGGCTGTGAAGTTTTAAATAAAGGCAGCATTTAGCCAATCTGCTATAGAAATATTTCAACTAACTTTAAAAGACAGGTGATAATTACAAGCAAAAAAGAGTTGATTAGTGCACAATGAAGAAAACTCTGAAATATGAAAGGAGTTCTAGTTACTGGCAATTACAGTATATGGTCTCACTAAACTGTGCCTTATTTCCCTAGCGAGGATTTTCACAATCAAAGACAAAGCCTTCATACTTTTTGTGCCTGTAACTATTTTCTCAGCAGCATTTCTCACAAACTTGTTTCCTTCTGACCCTGCAATGATGCCATAATCCTGTGGTTTTGGTTATCAGTCTGTTGCCAACCAGATGATCACATTGCAAACTCAGATTTGATTTCCCAGGAGTGCTAAAACACTGGAGGAGGTGGGCAAACATGGATAACTCATTTGTTTAAACAAAAATGTACATGAAAATCAGCAAGAGTGGGGCAAGGAAAATGATGAACAATTTGAATACGTATGCTTTGGGACAGTATTTTGGTCAATGTTTCTTCAGGTGAAAGAATCCTTGTCATGAATTCTGTTGAGCAGAGGCACCTTAAAAAGAGAGGAATACCTCAGATTGTGGCATTTTCATGCCCTGATATGTGTAAAATGCTGAAAGAGTATTATGCAAATTACACAGATAATTCAAGCCAAATTATTTGTCACTCATTCGGTGCATTCTTGCTGGAAAGCTTCCAGTAGCCCATTTCCCCCAACTGCTGGTGAAGTACACTTTCTGGCAAAATCTCTCATTTAGAACAAGCTGCCATCGCTTCTTTACAGCTGCATGTATTCCAGCACTACTCCCTGCAGAACATCTTTCAAACAAGTGGCTCACCAGGCCAAACACTAGATATGCCCAGTACAATTGGACCTATCACATGTCCAAGAGGTCTGTGGCATACCAGGGATGTTAGTCAGCATGTAACTAAATAGTCATGTAAGCCATGAAATTTTAGCAGCTACATGATTATTCAATGGTCCCCAGGGTATTCCAGCACTACTCCCTGCAGAACATCTTTCAAACAAGTGGCTCACCAGGCCAAACACTAGATATGCCCAGTACAATTGGACCTATCACATGTCCAAGAGGTCTGTGGCATACCAGGGATGTTAGTCAGCATGTAACTAAATAGTCATGTAAGCCATGAAATTTTAGCAGCTACATGATTATTCAATGGTCCCCAGGGGCAGGAGCA